AAAAAAAAAAACAATACCTGCAACACCCAAAATTATTTTGAGGATAAAATGAGTTAATAACATGCAAACACTCCTAAGTTAGTGCCTGATACATCCTAAACTGAATAAATATCAGTTATTGTCATTTTCATTGTTTCACTTCGTGATGATGTGATTAATGTCTGTTCACCTCACTATGCTCTCAGCTGCATGAAGAAAGGAGCCTGTGATGGTCTCCCCTGAGGTAGTTGCCTTGCAAGTTAGTGCTGATTTTCCCCAGGATCTACACTCATCGGCCCTATTTGCTTCTAGACCTACTAGTAGACTTGGCCTCAGAAGGCATCCTGGCTAGCAAGGGAGAGTGTGGGGATCGTCCCGTGGCCACATATATGGACCCTACGCCTGGAAAATCAGAAGTCATCCATGACCCATCAGGTCCCCACCAGGGAGGAGTGGCCACAATGTACCTGACAGGCTGGGGCCTCTAGGGAATGTATGTCTTTAAAAGAATTGTATAAAGAGGTACAGGAATGCTGGAAATCCTACTTTATAGGTAGCATAAATGTTGATGGAATGAGGCCCAGCTGTAGCCTTGAAAGGTGCCTCACAAATCTTGCCCCTGGACACGAAGCAAGCAGGAAGAGTGTGGAGGTCACGTACAAGGATCCCAGGAGGATTCTCATGTAGGTAAAGAGGAAACACGGAGCCCCTAGAGGGAGACAGAGGATAGAAAGTCCTGGGACCTCATCCACTGGCAAATTCTCTTTCTCTGGTCTTGTCCTTTCCACACACGTTTGATTTCTTTACATTATTCCTCTACATAGTACTGATGTACTAATTCCAGAGACGGAACTAGAAAACGACAGTTCCTAATATGTGGCCAAAAGAAACGTCAACAGGAAAAGTAGAGAATGTTTCCTCTTCCTTCAAAGCTGTAGGAAGGCAGCCACTGTCCTGGGGCAGAAAGGGGCCTGGTAAGTGTTATTTCTAGACACCCAGCTTCCGTGGTTGTTGCTAATGCCTATGGAGGTACCTTCAACCGCTGGACTCCCAAGAGTTCTGAGGGGCTGTCTCTGCTCCTGGCCCAGGTTAGGGATACTGAAATGACATGTCCTCTGCAGAAGTGGGATTTGGGGCCTCCTTCAGTAGTGAAGGAAGGGGCCTGGCCCATCTCCCTTCTCCTGCATACAATAAGCTGGTGACCCTGCAGGATTTCTTAGTTCATGGAGGAATGTGAAAGTCAGTATCTCATTTATATTAGCATGGGAAGTGAAAGACCCAAACCTTAATTCTCAGGCTGTAAAAAAAAGAGGATTTTAAGATAATATTCAAATCCAGCATTTACTATTTGCTACAAATAGATACACCCCTCCATAACAGGGAAATAGGCCTTGGGGAAGAACAAAGAGGGAGATGAAGCAGGGTCACCTGCTCTTATTCTGGTCCTCCGGGGAGCCCCAGAAAGGGCTCACAATGTTCTGCACCTCAGATGGGATAGCTGACCTAATGCACTCCGAGGGTCCCAGGTGTTGAGGAAGAGGTCTCACTTGAGCTGGCCTCTGGGGTGTGATCTGCTGCTGGTAACTGGGCTCTGTTGGGGGCTTGGTGGCTTACTGGAAGAGAGGGACGTCCCCCATGGTCATGGCCCACCCTCCCCACCCTGCCCTCACTGCACTGTGCTCTGGGCACTGCACAAAATGCTTAGTCAACAGTACCCTATTTGTCCCTGCCACGCGAGTGATCAATCAGCATCACCCATCTCACAGATGAGGAAACTAAGTCTCGGAAACCTAAGGTGAATTGTCCCAGGCACAGGGCTGGTCAATAGTGGAGCTGGAATTTCACTCCCCAAGACCACGCTTAGTCTGAAGTTTGACCTTAAGCCCCCAGGATTCAGTTACTGCCAAGCCTGGGTGCTCACTCATCCTTGAGCTTATTGATGACCAGTTCTTTCTGGCCTTGAATTTTCTGCTGGCCAAATAGGACAGGAGCTCCCCCAGCAGGACAAGTTGTAGCTACAGGACAGGCTCA